TTAGGAAAAACATTTCTTTTTTTTATTTATTTTTTTTTTTTTGTAGATTTTACAAGATTTTTAATTTGCTGGTGGTAAATATATAAATATATATATATATATATATATATATATATATATATATATATATATATAAAATGTGTTTCATTTCGTTATTTCCTGGTTGTTTATAAATGGGTTCTTTGTTATTGCATGACGTCACATTTTTTTCAACCTCTGGTTCCCGCTACTATTTTCACTTAGTCACATAATTTTGAGCCATCTTGCTCTTTTGAGTCCCAGGAGGTGACGCAGAATTAAGGCGGGGTTGGTGTTCTCAAACCTTACTCCTGCAGGTGTTGGTTTGCATAGTCTACTATATTAGTCATTTAAAATATAAATTGCAATGGGGGCCTACATGACAGGAAGGCGATTTTCGAAAATATACTAGGGGTCTTCAGGTTAATTTTTAAAAAATATATATTTTAAACAAAATTGATGCATCCATTAATTTTTAGATCAGCTACATTTTTAAAAATAATATTTATGTGCTTTTCTTTAATCTTTTTTTTTTTAAATTAAATTTCCATATTATTAAATCTTACCGACCTCCATGTTCGTACGACTTATAAGACTTGAATGGTTTGTTTTTTTAATTGCTTTTTTTTTTAAAGTAATTCCACCGAGAAATTCATTTGACCACTGGCTTTCGATTTGGAAGGGAAAAAAAAACATTGCTTGAAATATTTTTTTTTTTTTTTTTAATGTTATTGAACTCTTTTGGAATGGTTTCTATATGATAAAACGTTAATTACTTGTTGGGTAAATTATCGCCTTTGGTATCAGTTGTTAATTTATACGTTTCACAACCTGTTCCTCAAGCTTACAGTTTGACTCAAATAGGTTTCGAAATTTCGACATTTAAATTACGATGGGCCATCCTCGGCCAACCGGGGTTTCGTGATAGAAGGACTTAGTCCCAACTAATACATTTCACCTAGCGGGGTAGCTAGAGTTTGTAACGCCTGGGGCGCTCCTTGATCTTGCCGCCCCATATTCATAAAAACAGGAAACTTTACAGAATACACAATATAAAAAGAAAGATTTATAGAGTAACTTAGTCAACAGAAAATCACGCCCACCCATTTTTTTTTTAAATTTCTGTTTTGGGCGCATCCCTCCCCCCTCCTTTTGCACCCCCTCTCCTCAGCCAGTGATTCCACTGGGTGGAACCATTGCAGTAGTCATTGCTGTTAAGGAGACAGAACCGTACCGCTGTAACGGGTGAGGATACACCATGCCCTAACCTGATTGCAGTTCCTCCCCTTACACCC